AGAACGAATGTTTAAACTACAAACTGACTAGAAAAAAGTGATTTTCTTGTATAGTTTGAATATAATTGTTTCAAATTGACTTTTCATTTCAATTTGTATACGAAAAAAACTACTTTGAATGGTCTACAGATCATTGTAAATATTTATGTTGTTCTTCTTGTCTTTGAAATGTTTTTCACTTTTTTGGTTGAAAATAGAGAAGTAGAAAAACAAAACTTTTTGTCGAACCTAAATACCTACCAGAAATAATAAGTTGAATAAACAAAGTATTATTCTTTTCCACTGAAGGCAAATAAAATACCATTAGAATAATGGAAGGATGAAGGAAACAACAGAAAGTTACTTCTAATACCTGCAAGAACATGTGTACAAAATTTCATGATGATCGGTTGAGTAGTTTTCGACTGAAACCGTAACAAACAAACTTACATTCGCATTTATAGTATTAGTAGGTATAGGGAAGTAGGGATATCATGAAATTTCAACAGCGATGACTGCAATAAGACTAGCGCTAGTAGGGATTGTTCTAGCCAAGTAATTGATTAGCCCTTTGAAGTTTGTTTTGATGTTGGCGCCAAATGTATGAATTTTATTAGTAAAACATAAACAATATCTATCATATGAAAATTGAATAGCTTTGATGTTAACACTATATATTTTGGATAGTATGTTTGAACCACAGCAGTTTATTGATGTATGTTACAACATTTCATTTATTGTACCCAGAGAGGATTTATAGACATCCAGTATTATTATTTACCGTGGCTCTTTTGGGCGACAAACAGATTTTTGATGGGATCTTGGCTGTTTCAGCTGCGTGAAATGGCTAAATTATATGTTCGATTGATGGCCTAATTATTTTGTAGAAATTCATATCGAATATAGAATAAAGAAAGTAACTTTTGTCTAATGTCTACTAAGTATAGAATTTTTCACGACCGGTTTCGGTTTATTAGATCAATTTTAAGCAACTGACCATTTTCAGTTACATGAAAATGGTCTAATAAACTCTAACAATACTTTCGAATCACATGCTTTGTTAACATAATTTTAAGAATTCTATAATTTTTTGATTTAACATTTTTGACTCTTGGGTCAAGTTGTAATTAAGTTATAAGTGTTTATTGTGTTCATTTCTTTTTATTTGAAATGGAAACTATTACGTTATTGGTGTTTGTTTACGATGGGGAAATTTGCAACTTAACCCTCAATGAAAAGCCTATACTTCTATTGTTAACTTTCTCAAGACCGTCTAATTATTATTTCTTCATGACTATATTATTTGGGTTCAAATACCGAAATTTATAAAGTTAACGTGACGTTTCTCTGGATTCCTATCTTTTTAAAATTATATCAACTATTATCTACAATCCTTACTAATTTCTCTGTTTGCCTAATTTCGACCGAAGCACCCTTTTTCCAAGATATTCAGGGACTACGTGACTTGAAAATAATTCCAGCCCTTTCTGATAAATTACCCTCTATCAGAAAGAAATTTTGGGATAGGACCAAATGAAAATAAAATTCAGTCTGCATCCGAGAGTTATTGTAACAAGACATATTGTTGCAAGACATACTGTCTTACCAGATACCGTTAACAATACCAATCTCTAGATGAGATTGTTATTGTTAACGAATCATTTTTGTGCATGGCTCTTCAGCTTCCCGAAAGAACGTTCCCTTGGCCGTCGACGGATACTTTCACCATCAACGCTAGTGTTCTCCAGGTAACCATATTGTCCCCAACTCTCTTTTTATTGTATATTAACGACTTATTGGATAAAATCAAGAATTCAATATATTGCTTTCCTAATGACAGCACACTTGTTTCGTCATTCCATTTCGATTCGAGGATATCGGCTACGTAGGCACATCACCGGCAGCAGGAGGTTGCATATCTTAATGAGGGTCTAGCAGTGATTTCGATTTCGAACCGGATATAATAATGTCAGGTGAGATAATTGCGCCTTCTGTTTCGATAAGTTTGTTGGGGATTAAAATGGACCCCAATATGTCTTGGCACAATCATGACGCTGGAATTGCAAAGGCTGCTTCTCAAAAGCTTGGAACACTGTTCCAAACTAGAAAACTGTACATACCTCAGCAACTTTTTATGCTTTATAAAGCTCAGATCAGACTTTCTTTGATGCATTGTTCTCATGTGTGGAGCTCTGCCCACAAACATACCCCGAAGTTGCTGGATTCCATCCAGAAAAAAGCCATCCGCCTGAATGGAGACGCAAACATCACGTGCAACCTTGATAGCCTACCTGGAACATCGAAGAAAGGTTGGAGATTTGTCTCTCTTTTATAGATACTTTCACGGAAAGTGTTCAAGTGACTTGGCACATGTGATTCCACCAAGAGCGGTACATATCAGAAATACGCGATGGTGAGGTTCAACTCAGTACACCTCGAACTTCACTGTTTAAGAAGTCTTCCATCTGGAGACCTGATGCGTTTATGTGGAATAGACTTCCTGGGAACGTTTTTCCAAACGGATTCAAAAGCGATTCAAATCCAATGTGAATCGCTAATTTCGCACAGGCACCGCTCTGAGAGCGCCTCAACGATGTTTCTGTAGTCCTTGTGTTTTGTCTTATAAAAAAATATATTCTAGTTGACTCTCTTCTTCTGAAATATCAAGAACTTCAACAAATTATATTATATAAGAGAAAAAAGAAAATAAATATTCAACAACGATTTTTATATAACGAGGTGATTTTATTTCGCGAAAGTACTCAAGGACAGAACAAAGGGCTGGCAAAGTTTTAATGATACAAGTTTCTCGGAAAAAGTTGAGTTATAATACTTTATAATTTATCCTTGAATGCAAGGAAACCTCTTAAACATGTAACTCACGTACTCCTGTTACATTATTCAATTCCTGCGTCCACAGTCGGCTCTTGTTGGAATTGAACTGAATTTATTATCAAGAATTACTTAAATATATAACGTTTCATGATTGTGATAAGTCACTTATTTATTTCACGTCAGGGAGAACCAGTCAACCAGTTATTATTATAAGAGAGAATCACATTTTCTCCAGAAGTAAAATTAATAACTTCGCATACAAAAGTTACTAATGACTTTCGTTAATCATCAATACCATTGTGTCGATAGGGGTGAATATTCTCTTTCCACTTGATATGAATCGATGAATAAATTGATGATGCAGCAGTAGTTTATCAAACATGATGTGTATTAAAAATGCATGTTTATGAACTTACGACGTTCTTTAACAAATTGTGAAATAGTCACAAAAGGCAAGTGGATTGTGTGGATTTTTGTTGTTTGAAATTAAAGTAATTACAGAAGTCTAGAAAATTATACCGAGGTAAAAAATACATGCACCTTCAAATTATTTTAATGATGTAACTAGTTTTCAATGTTTTAATATCAATACTTGTTCACAAAAAGCATTTAAAGCTTCAATAACTTCTAATACTCAAACTGAACGTTTTATCTTCTTGTTTGTTCTTTTATACGGTTAGATCGCCTTAGTGAATTTGTTGATGCTTCATTAATCAGGGTTTGGGCAGGTATTTGCCCGCGAACTTTATGTGTTTCACTGAATATGTGATAATCTGAAGCCCGGGTTGCACAGCGTTAGTTGTTCGACGTTTCGGCTTCGACTTTGAAGCCATTTTCAAGAAGGTACTACACTGAGGTCACAATGTGCTTACTCTTCAAGTAGTGACACGCTGTAAGGGTTTTGTGACACGACGTCGGGGTTTCATTCTGCTTACTCCCCAGGTATCATCCCTGGTCTCCGCAAGGGGCTTAATCTGCCCACTCCCAAGCGTCGACTGTAAGTCCACAGGCTCTGGCCTGGTATTTTTGTCCTTGGATGAGTGGTGGAGCGTACCGGTGTGGAAGCGAGGGTGGAGTTGGTAGTGGCAATGGGATTGTAACTTGCAGAAACGTGGTATGCAATGTTGTGAGATGTTTAGCGTGACAGTAACGATATACATGAATGAGGTAATCTTTGTGAATCATCCATCATCCTGTGTATTGAGGCAGTTTGAACGTTTTCAATTCCAATAGCTTTTCGGATTATCCTGGCCTGAAGAGTTTTTTATTGTTGCAATGATTTTATGGTTTTTGAAGCTTATGATAATGTTTAAAGAGGGATGAGGCTAGATCTTATTTACAGCAGGCTCATTTTCATAGGCTCTATTGGAGACTTTTCTGTTGGTTTGGCCGATGTGAGTTCTGGAGCAGGTGGAACATGGCATTTCGTACGTGCCCTGAGTCCTTGGGTATTCGTAGAAAAGTGGAAATTTGATTTCACAAATTGAGTTGGCATAGTTGGAGACTGGTTGTCAATTAAATTATCTAAGACGACCATTCATTCAGGCCAGTCTCAAATTACCCACACTGTAGGTTAATGGACTGACAACTATCATAAATCAACTACTCCCCTGGCTAATACCACGAAGGGCGTTGGATTTTATCCGACAGATGTCATTGCCGGATTTTTCACTGGAGTTATTCCTGAATATGCTGTTGGCCATACAACTGCCACAATCCATTTTCGCTTAGTGGAATACACTTGCAGACCGGTTTCGGGCTCTTTGACCACTCCTCAGTGCAAGGTAGTATCTACCATCAACAAAAAGTCGATGACTTAAGATAATTGAAAATCGAATTCCTTCAGAGTATCATTCCTTGAACTAGGCTGAAGCGGACAACAAACAACAGGTTTGTCATCGCCCCATTTGCCTGTGAACAAGGTAACCAACCGCATATCCGAAATTTACCCAATTCCACTCAATTTGTGAAGTTTTCTTACTTTTACGACCCGTGTTTCAATCACCAAGTGATCATCTTCAAGAGGAAGAATCAACTGATTACTGACGATTAAATCTTCCTCTTGAAAATGATCACTTGGTGATTGAAACACGTATCAAGGTGTTAAAAATAACGGTTTGGTGTAGAGGTAAAACCTCAGTAATATTCAGTATAATTTGGGATAAATAATGTTTTTTCTGTTGCAGGTGCTGTAAAAAAAGGTGGCGCGTGCAGCTTGTGTTGGCCTCGAAAAAGAGGGCCGGGGGGTATTGCGGTGGGGCCACCTCAATGTCCTCATAGCCAGATGTCAAGCACAAGGAGTTCAATCGCAAGTTCACCTCATAGTCAATGTCCCACGCCTTTACCGTTTCTTGTAACTTCTGGGTCAGTGATTGGGTGAGTGAATTCATAATTCCCGTTGTTCAACAATTCAAAGGTGATAATAGAGCTAAAGCTACCTAAATATCCTACCCAAATATCTAAACTGTTTGAATAGTCATTCATAAATATGTAACATTTGAGCGTCATTAATATTACAATATTACTCTTAAGTCGATCATCTACAGATACTGATTGAGATTTATAAATAACGAACAGATCTGACGGACCTAGTGGGTGATTTTGCGATCGATTTACCAGAAAAGATCAATTCATTCAATCAAACGATTCGTGGGCGTTGACTCCAACTGTAAGATTTTGGATTTGGATTTGGACACAAAACCGATATCGCTCGTTGAAAGATGAGACGTCGTTAATTCTTAGCTCGCACAAGTCTCAATTTCTGAGGGTTGCCGTTCATAAGGTGGCGACAGGTTTCATCAAATTTACAAAAAAGTCTTATTTCGAAGAAACTACAGTTTTGGAATATACTAAATATAAGTTCGCTAGTTACAAATAATGACACATAAAAAATCTTAATATGAATTTCATTTTCTTAATGTTTTTGGGGCATATAACCTTCCACAGTCTGAAAAATTAATGAATAGCGATGGGGTCACCCTAATGTCCTCATAGCCAGATGTCAAGCAATAAGCAGCGGACTTACTCAGATTATAAATGAGCCAACCAGGATTCCTGACCGTGATGGAGAATATGCTAGTCTTCAGGATATATACCAATCTAGAAATTTACACAGTCACTGTAAGGTCTCCATTGGAATCTTCTGAACACAAACTCATTTCAGTGTTGAGTGAATTACCGATAAATGTTGGGGAACAATCTAAGCCGCGCAAAGTTGGGCGTTACAGATCAGCTGAATAGTAGGATTTTCAAGACCATTTCCGAAATTTACCCTGGCAGCTCTGAAAATCCATCAACTTGTGCTTCTGAAGTCACAAAAGTTATTCTATCATCCATGAATGCATATATTCCTTTTTCAATGAAACGACCTTCTAACAGCAAACTTTGGTTCAACAAAAATTGCGAGCAAGCTGTCGCCTCCAAAAATCTCGCCTACCGGCAGTGGCGCAAAAATCGTGATGCCGAAAACCGAACTAGGTTTGTTAATGCTCACAACAGCTGCAAACTTAGGATAAATGAAAGTAAAGAACTTCATAATCAGAGAATTATGGATAAACTGCTTGCCAATCTCAACGGGTCGAGATCCTTTGGGTCGGTAGCTAAAACTGTTAATCAAAACTTTACAAAATCCACAATTCCACCACTAACATAAGCGGATGATTTAACTTTAACAACAGTCATAGAAATAGCAAATTTACTAGCTGAACAAATAGCGCCCCAGTCCACAGTCGTTTTTTTTGGGAAAGGCACCCCACACTAGAATTCGCAATGCCGGAAATTACTTTTCGACAGCGTCAAGCGAATTTGGAAACAGCTCAATATTAACAAGATGTCTGGCTCTGATGAAGTGCCTGTCATCGTACTTAAAAAGTGCTTAAATGAACTCGAACTGCAGACTTATCAACCTATCTTACAATGGGGTTGGAAATGGGGTTTTTCCTTCTTGTTGGAAGATTGCTTGCTTTCGGCCTATTCACAAAAAGGGCAAGAAAAATCTTCTAAATCACTGTAGACCAGTCGCTTTGCTATCAGTGATATAAAAAATAATGGAGAAATTCGTAAACCACCATATCCTCAAATTCAACATCTTGAGCGATCATCAATATGGCATTCGGAAAAAATATCAACAGGCGACCTTCTATCGTATGTCACCCATATTTAGAATAACGCAATCGAGAAACATGGAGAATCAAGAGCTGTTGCGCGTGATATTTTCAAGGCCTTTGACCGTGTGTGTCATGAGGGTTTGCTGGCCAAACTTCGATGCTATGGCTTGTCGGATCATATCTGTGTGTGGGCGTTCTTTATAAGTGGCCGTCGATGTATATCTCTCGAATACTTTCACTATCAACGCTAGTGTTCCTCAGGGATCCATATTGTCTCCAACCATCTTTTTTTTGTATATCAACGATTTATTTGAAAAAACCAACAATCCAATATATTGTTTGGCAGACGACAGCACATTTGTCTAGTCATTCCATTTGGATTTTGTGACATCGGCTACGGAGGCACATCTTCACCGGCAGCAGGAAGTTGCATATCTTAATAAGGGTCCAGAAACGATTTCGAATTGGGGTGAAAGTATCCAGGTTCAATTCAGTGCCACAAAAACCCAGGCATCAGTTTTTTCCAAGAAGATAAATGTCTTCGAACCGGATATAATAGTCAGGTCAGACAAATCCGCTTTCTGCAGCGAAGGCTGCTTCTCAAAAAATTGGAACACTATTCCGAACCAGAAAACTATAGTCACCTCAGCAACTTTTGATGCTTTGTAAAGCTCAGATCAGACCTCCTTTGGAGTATTGTTCTCATGTGTGGAGGTCTTCCCCCAAACATACCCTGAAGTAGCTGGATTCTATCCAGAAAAAATCCATCCGCCTGATTAGAAACGCGAACATCACGTGCAACCTTGATAGCCTGGAACATCGAAGAAAGGTTGGAGATTTGTTTCTCTTCTATAGATGCTTTCACGGGAAGTGTTCAAGTGACTTGGCACATTTGATTCCACCAAGAGCGGTACATATCAGAAATACGCGACGGACTGTGGCTGCTCATCGTTTTGAGGTTCAACTCAGTACACCTTAAACTTCACTGTTCAAGAACTCTTTCATCTGGAGAACTGCGTTTATGTGGAATAAACTTCCTGAGAACGTTTTTCCAAATGGATTCTATTTTCAGCGATTCAAATCCAATGTGAATCGCTACTTTCGCACAGGTACCGCTCTGAGAGCGCCTTAAGGATTTTTCTGTAGTGCTTGTGTTTTGTCCTTAAAAAAGAAGGTAAATCATCTCGATTTCCTTTGACACACGTGTGCAGTCTGCAATTGAGACGTTGTTCACACATTATTTGGGTTCTGAAAACTGAAAAGCATAATTTTCCGTAACTTCAACTATGTAAAAGAGCTAAGAATAGAAATTTAATTTTTTCCATTATATATTCAATAATTAGGCAAAATTCAGGAGTACGACAAGTTACTGACTAATTGGACACTTTAGTGGATTATATTACACACTAACTTTTCAAAATAAACTCTTCAGTTTATCTTCCATTACACTGTATTGATTTAGCTTTGTGATCATAGAAGGTGATACACCCAAAAAACATTAATAAATATTGACTCCACCACAAAAAATAAATGTCTCTCAAAGAATTTTACCATATAAAACATTAAATCATAAATCGCATTTTCAAAATTATGAAACTATTTTTATGGATCTGATCCGAAAACATTTCGTTTAATATTTTCTGGGAGAATTATCACACATTGTGCCTTTGTAAACAACAAGGCAGACATCAATTTATATTACTGAAAATTCGAATCGAATAAAAATATCCTCGTATGTAGGCGACCAGATGTAGTGTCTGTTGAATAGTGTATATCACACCACTAGCATCATTGATATACACATCATGCATCAAGCAAATAATCGGATGTTACATCCGGTGTCTCCATTCAACTTGCATCGCATTTCCTATGTTACTAACGATTCATTTCGTGTCCGAGTTACCGTCAGAATTCGTCGTTACGAGAGTACATTGCTCAGTTCAGAGAATTGACGAAAATAATATACAAACAGGAAAATAAATTTTTTTTAAACTTCAAAAACAGTGAGTAATTTGTACAAAGAACAAGTTTTAACTGGAAATCATTGTAATTTCGAAATACCAAATCTCATTATGAAGTGTTATTTCAATACGTTGAAAAAGATTTTTATCAAGTATTGGCCAGTTCCATCACAAATGTGATACTTTTTTAAAAAAAATATGGATTGGTGCCTTTTTGCTGCTCATAATTTCACCTAAACCATTTCTGCGGATTCCTTTACAATGAAAAATTAGTTTACTGAGTTCTCGTAAAAAATGATATTTCTCACGATTTGTGATGAAATTATTATTTTGAATTTACATATAGCTGTTCATAAAATCCCAACATATGTTGAAGTTTTGGAAACTTCTATAAGAATATCTCAAAATGAATTGAATTTTTATGAACATTTTAATTTTTTTTCCAAAAAGTTACCCTTTTCGTTGTCGGTGGTGAGAGAAACATATCTGATAGACTGAATGAAATCCAACCTTTAATCTTAAATTGAAAAAGGGATTGAAAGATATCTGATGGTAATTTAATTGTCAATCCGGATGTGAAATACAATTTATTAAATTCATTAATTTAATAAAGTTGGAGTCGTTTAGGAACATACAAAGTATGAGCGAAATACTTCACATTTAGAGACGATGGTACGTTTTCCACAGAACGTTGTCTGGTATTTTTTTAAATTCTATTCTAAGTTGTGGATGTTAACGGTTACCAGTCAGAACCTTTTGTGGTTACATCAGGTGTACCACAGGGGAGTCACTTGTGACCATTATTCATTATAATTCATATTACAAATATTATTGAAGGATTTGATCGTTCCAACTATATGTGAACGACCTCAAGATTTATCGAACCATTAAAGAAATAAATCCATGTCTGTGAGAGGTTGCAAAATGACCTTGATGCATTTGCAGAAATCTGTGGCAATAGTAGCCTATACCTTAAACACGATAAATTCCACAAAGTAACTTTTACCAGAAATTGAAATCCCATTGATTTTCAATACCGAAAAAATATAATTAAAACAGTAAATGACGTACGCGATTAAGGAGTAATAATGGATTCCAAAATGATTTTTGAATCAGACATAAAGAAAACCGTTAATATGTGTGACCCTCAATTGGGATTCTTTATCAGAAACAAAACTCGGCTGAATATATAATACTCTTATATATATTGACTTAGATCATGACTTTTCTTTCGATAATGTTAAAATTTTAGACTCGGAAAATAATATTCAAAAAAGAACCTTCTTAGAAACGTGTCATATATTTAAAA